CACTTCACACACTCATTATCCGTTTTATCCAATTGGGATGCAAATGATTTTCACCAAGAAACTAAAATAATCGACTACAGAAGATTCCACTGCACCTTTACCTCACAGTCACAGCGTTGTTCATTTAATGATTTTTTTTTTTCCGTCTAATGAATTTTAATTAAATCAAGAAAAATATTCATTTAGGCTTCTGTAAGTGTCCCCACTCTATAAAATTAAATTAAGTTCGTACTTTTTGTGTAACGGGCAGGACCATTTCTTATAGTCCTTATCAAAAGTCTAGTTAAGTTTGATAGAGAATTTGGTTCATACAATCTAAACATATGATTCTTTAAATGGAACTATTTCCAGAAGCTTACGTTAGATCCTAACTGTTTTCCTGATACATATCCGTTATTATTATATCCACATGCTATTTATAAGCAAATATGAACAAAAAAAATCGGAATACAAAAGTAACGTTTTTAACTTAAAGCTTCTTGCATCTCCTTCTTCTTAGCATCCACAAGAAGAGCAAGATGTGCACATTTACTTTTAGTTTCTTCCAGTTCCTTTTCTATGTTCCTCACCTGTTTCATTATCCATTTACATCCATGTAAGAAACCGATGTTTGTAATGAAACCGATGTTTATACCGCGGAATCAAACTTACCATCTGTTCCATTTCAGTCTCTTTCTTTATATATTCCTCGCACCTGTTTAAGATAAGAACACATCGATAATTGATCGAGAGATATGAGACTGAATGATTTTTTAGTGTACCTAACGAAGAGTTGTATATTCTCTTGGCTTATTTCATCCGCTGACTTGCCAACGAGGTTGTTTTCAGTATCCTGGGAAGTTTTTTTGTATAAAAAATTTAGTTAAAACTTGTGAATAAAACAGAATCATCAAAATGTATTCACTTACGGTAGCTGCAGGTTGAGTGCTGAGCTGTACAGGTTGAGGGTTGAGATGCACCGGTTGGAAGTTACTTCTTAAAGCTGAGGAATTTCTCATGTGTGGCGGTGCAAGAGCAACTGTACGGGTTGATGTGCCGTTACTATGACTGATTTCACGTATTATTGGACCACCTTGACTAAACTTTTCAGAAGGCAAAGGTGAAGGATTGAATGTATTGACAGCAGGTGGTTGATCAGGTATTGCTATTTTTTTCGATTTTTCTGAATGGATTTGACTGTATCCAACATCTTCGCAACGGCTCAGCCTGTTTTTATCCATAACAAGCAGTGGGATAGTCAAACAAAGGTATCGCTTTTCGGAACCAAAATCATACTGAAACGACATTAAGAGATTATTGGAAAAACTGAAAAAGGTTTAGAAGGGGAAGAGGAGACCAGTAATCAGCAATAATCTTTTTTAACTTCGCCTCCAGCCGTTGGAATAGAGAAGACCTCTCAAAATCTTGCTTATCGTGAGCTGGTTCTATGAAGTTTGCTTCAAGAACTCCTGTGGAACATATTTTGGTTCATGAGTCTTAACTCCAGGTTGTTCCCTCAAAACAAAAAATATTCAATGGAGTCATCAAGGAAATGAATCACTATACCGACAACACCATGGCCTAAACGTGACCCGTCCATAGTGACCTTCCAGAAAGGCTGTGATGGTGCAAGAGAGATATCAACTTATTCAAGCCATATGAAAAGCTGGGCGATTAAGTGACAAATATTATAACAGACCAATTTTTTAATATTCTAATAATATAAGTCTGATTTCCCTGAATTGTCTGGTATATGAAAGCATACCCGGATGAGACGGTTTTTATGATAGACATTGTAACCGCAAATTGCAAGCTTAGGCGCCTCCTTTATAAATCCAACTTTGATTTCAGTGATCGCCTGTAACAAGAAAGCTTAGTGAAATTTTTTTCTCCCAATCTCAGCCCAAAAACTTAAGCTTAATGTTCGCATATTAAAACAAATACATTATATGCAATGAATTTGTTGCAAAACAATTAGCCAAAGCTCCATGTAACAAAATCAGAGAGTGAAAAAAAAAGAAGAGAAGAAGAGTCCAAACTTGTTCTGTTGTAGCTGTATGGGGCTTGTACTTTATAATCTCAGGATATCTGAGTTCATCAGCAATGTTGAACTGCTTCACAGGTACTCCCCGAAGTATAATTTTGAAATTTTTGAACTTTTTGAGATATAGCATTGAAGCATAAGCCTAAGGATGAAGAACAAAGCGAGTCTTCAAACATCCTTGGAACAATTAAATTATTTAAAAAGGAAGAAGATATTTAGGAGATTACCCTCAGGGAGTAACGTAACTGGTATGAAATATGAGATCTATGTTCCAATATTTTAAAGTGCAACCGTTTTCCGTCATGGACACCTTCATCTCGGAGCCGGATGTCCTATACCGAAAATAATCTAATTGCGATAACACTTATCGTCTGTAGAAGGCCTGACTAAGACACCTTTGACAAGATATCTCGTAGGGTATATATTCATTAAAGAAGAGTGTGTGTTACCTCATCGTCGTCGTCAAAACTCAGCTCATAGATTCCTTCATCATTAAGCCACAAGTTGTATATAATTACTTTTGTTCCATGCGTTCCAATATCCTCAAACTGGTGGGCCAAAAATGGAAATAGAATTTAATAAAACAGACCGCATTATAACTACGCGCGGATTAAAATTTTTCAGAATGAATTTAGGACACCAGTCAAGGAAGAACAGTGATGCAATAAGATATTCCTAAGCTGGCTTTTGAAAGAAACAACCTGCTGCAAAAGTTCGTTCTCTGTTGAAAACGGAGACCATTTGAGTAGAATTTCAAGGTTGGTAGCCCAATCTTCAGGAGATCCATATATAATTGGTTGTGGTCGCTCCGTG